CAGAAAGAGAGAGAGAGAGAGAGAGAGAGAATGAAAAAAGAGAGAGAGACAGAGAGAGCGAGATTAATGAGAGTAGAGATTAATAGAGAGAGAGAGAGAGAGATACTGAGAGAGAGGTACCCGCCAATTAGTGTCATTGGTAGCTGCATTAAACAGTTCACATGAATAATTATAGTTATCAGTATTATGTCATGACGCTACTTCTATGCATTGCCTAGTTGCCTGCTATTGTTTGCCACTGGGATTTATCTTACACCTGGTTCACTCCATCCACATCCATCCATCCATCATCCATCCATCCATCCATCCACCCACTTCGAAATTCCTCCGCAAGTGTGCAGGACTGAGACAGGTGGATGACCTCGAGCGTGGCAAAGTTCCACGAGAGATTTGCGAGTTTCAGCGCCGAAAGCGCCGCAAGCACGTGGAGGCAGAGTCTAGGGGACCTGTTCAGACAGAAAGGGACGCTATAAGGCTCCTATTTTACAGTTGCGGTCAAAAACAGAACAAAAGGGTGTGCCTGTGGTTGGTCTCCTCTTGGCTTCCCTGATCTCCATCCAGAAGCAGAAAGGGGAGGGAGGGTTGGAGGGAGGGATTTGTGGATGGATGAAACAGAACCATTCCGAATGCCGAATGTACAAGTCAAAGCGCATTGGCTTGACCACCCCGGCACAAAGTTGATTTGCATGAGCCAGGTCCTAGACCGACAAATAGATGACGTGACTACCCGACAATATGACCAGCAAAAACACGATACGCTGGTTTGTTTTACGTTGTTCGCATGATCAACGACCTGGTTGTTTCAGGCAAACAGGAAGACACATCGACTTGTTCAGGAGGCGTTTTATGAGTGTTTGCTTGATTTATTTGCCACATTCAGGGAAGTGACGTGAAAGGAATTGCAAGGGGTGACAATACGTAGCACACATGAGTGAACGTGTCTCAGACCTGCAGAATGGGTCTGCAGATGCTGGTGAAGACGGTAGCAGGCGCGAGAAAGTTGTGGGTAGCTTGCTTGGACTGAATCAGTTTTTGTGTTTGGCATTCCCCCATTTGGGAATGCAGTTCGGATTTTAATACAGCTTACGAACTAGCATCTAATCCGAAGCATGTGTACAAACCATATTGTATAAGTGATGAAGCACTACAGTTCTCAGCCGTGGCGCTCATTCATTCAAGATCCATGTGCCTGGAGTCTCCTTCTGACCCTTAAACAATGGTTGGTCATTACCCAAAACAATGGGATCATGGACCCATTTTTTAAGGGTCATGGAGACTCCAGGTAGTGGTAAATTTGACCATTCCGCCTGCGTCTCAGCGTCAGAAATAGGCGGGATGGGCGGTTGCGGGGCAGCATGACATGTCTGGAGTTCCAGGAAACAGCCTGAGCCTCGGTGGCGTGAGAGAAGGTGCACACAGCATTTGGGTAGATTTGAATGGGGGAAGACATGTGTTTGTTTAGGCTTTCTGTTATGTCCACAAACCTTTTTGGAGGGTATATCCCCTTTCTCACTCCTATAGCCATGTGTGAATCTTGGGTTCTGTTTTGGTTTGCCTCAGCTTGACGATTGTGTGTGTGTGTGTGTGTGTCAGTGAAGTGCATTGTGATGTCAGGATTTACGGTTGCTTGCCACGTGTGCCCCAATTGCTCTTGGTCTTCCCCAAAGATAGGCCGTTCTGGTTTGCCTGTATCTTCTTCTTCTTCTTCTTCTTCTTCTTCTTCTTCTTCTTCTTTGTTTTGTTCCGAGGGGGGGGGGTGTAGCGGTGCCTTTTTTAGTCGACCCCCTAACATGGTGGATTTCCGCTTTATTTTTCTCTTAATTCCAACCCAAAAGGGTTTCCCCAAAAAAAAGCAGGGCTTTGAGTTGAATTGCTGGTCCGGAAGGCGCGACGAATCTGAGACACACCGGCCTGTTGCTCCTTGGTTCGCCTGGAAAAACTCTTCAGCCTCAATGAGGATTGCTTGCTGAATCTAGCCAACTGAAAAACGATCTTAGGGTGGTTTTCGACCTCTAGGGCCGCCATTTGTATTTCTTTCCATATAGGCGCATATAGGTCCTGTGTGGACTTGCTGGTGTTTGTATTTTTTTGTTGCGGTGCCATGTCTAGTTCGGAAGTCTTTGCTCGACATAGCGCAGTGCAGTGAAAACCTCATGACCCCCACATGTCTCGTTATACCGAGGGCTTGGGGTACTCATCCAAATTTGGAGGGGGACACAGACTCAGGCCCTGAGCGACCCCATCGCGGAATGGAGTGGAGTGTCTGCCGGGCAGCCCGGGTCGACCCGGGAGGCATCTGATCCCGTCCTCCCCGAAACAAATTTCTTGCCAAGGCAGTAAGGCCCACCTAGAGTCTCCATGACCCTGAAAAAATGGTTGGTCAATACCCAAGATATTGGGGTCACGGACCCATTTTTTGAGGGTCATGGAGAGTACGTAAGGGATGCCATGGGTGGGAGTTTTTGGGTTCTGTGAGTGCTTGAGTTGTTGTGGCTCTCCGACATGCCGAACCTCTCTGCTTTGTGAGAGCCTTTGGCTCTCGAATCCGCTTTCGCGGAGACTTGGGCTCCATTTCTCGGCCTCGGCCTGTGGCGTTTTTGGCCCTTTTCGGACTTTGGGGAAACCAAGAGGGCGCAACTTGGACTCCGATGTCCCGTTTTGAGACGAGCCAACTTCGGGTAGCTCCCAAGCGATCCGAGGCTGCAGGAGGTTTGCACTTCCAAGCGCAGCTGGATCAGGACGAGGCCCTGCGGCTCACGGCTCGGGTGCCTTTTTCGTTGTCAGGTTACATGTGTGCCTTTGGAAGGGTGCTCAGTTGCATCTGAGTCTTACTTCACTTTGAACAAGTTGGAACGACACTGGACTTTCTTTCTGGCTCCACTGAAGCTGAACCTTCAATGACCAAACCAAGGAATGGCAGGCGCATACCCCGATCCTGTTCGGAAAATCACAATTTTGGAGGGCCCCCTCAGAAAATGGCACAGCCACATCATGCCGTGAACCTCTTTGTCAAGATTGGCAGCTGTCACTGGCACGCATCGCTGCAATAGGCTCAAGGCCGAGCTTGGAACATGCAATGCACCACACCGGATCTTTGGCATGTAATTTTTGTTTCACACGTGGTCAATTCCTTCTAAGCGTTTGCACAAGTGTTGCATGTGATGGTAAAACCTATGTCGGCAAACCCGCTCTTCATGAAGAAATTGTTCTGACCTTCAAGCTATTCATCTTCAGGTCATCTTGCTTTCCACTTGGACTATCACCGAGTTGGTCAGTGTCAGCCTCCGAATCTCTTTCCTGTGGGTGACCCTAAAACACTACCCGACGCTTGTCAGCCGTGTCACGTGTCGGAGGCGAGTAGCATCGATCCTCCGGCTTGGCTCGAATGGAGCTGAACAGCTGCACTCGTGAGGATTTCTTGGCACTAGGCCTGCAGGAGCCGCGCTCCCGACAGTCAGTGGGTTTCTTCCATTTTTTTCTGCCGGGTTTTTGGTTCCTTTCAGAGGGGGAGGGGGGGTGGCCTCTTGGTTTTTGAGTCCTCGTGTTTCCAGGTACCTGGAGTCTCCTTCTGACCCTTAAACATGGTTGGTCATTACCCGTCATGGACCCATTTTGTAAGGGTCAAAAGGAGAGTCTAGGCACTTTAAGCTCCAAGTGGGATTGGTGTCCCGCTTGGCAGGTTTGGTCTCCTTGGTCTCCTTGATTCGCCGTTTTTCCAGGAACCTAGCCGGATTTGGCACCTCCAGTGAGCGACCCCCAGATGTTAGCTCGCGAGGACGTGGCGGAGGCGATATGCCAGCACCGGCCCTTCAAGTCCCTCGAAGAGGTGCTGGAGGCGCTGCGAGTTGGGCGGTCGATTTTTCTTTTTATACCCTCCCTTCCAGTAACATAGCACCTATGGAAGATCATTTCCCTCTTGTAGGGACCCCCTGTCAGGTGCCAGGTTAGTGGGAGTGAGAGTAGTTCTAAAATCATAGAGATTCAATAATTACTGGCCTCATGAAGAACTAAATGATTCGAAAATAAGGTGAAAACACGCTTAGCTTGGGAGTTCTTTGACTTCGGCTTCTTCCATAGTAAATGGCCTATGCGCTGCTCAGCTTAGATGATCAAATGGCATTGGTCTGGTTGGGCTTCATTTACTTTGGCTTGGTTTTGTATAAGTTGGTGTGGTCGCCTTTTAGTTTGGCTTGGTCTGCTATAGGTCGGCTTCCTTTAGATTTGGTTGGTTTCCTTAGTTGTGTTTTCTGCAATTTGTCGCCGTTGTTTGCTTGGCTAGTTTATTTTCGTTTGGCTTGGAGTTCTTTCGTTTGGATTGACTTCCATTAGTTTGGTCGTTGTTTTTAGTTTGGTTTAGCTTTCTTTAGCTTGGTGCGGTTCTTTAGTTTGTTTCTTTGTTTCGGTGTGTTCCTCGCCATGGTTTGGTTTCGTTTAGTTTGGTTTGGGTTCCTTCATGTTCCTTTGGTTTGGTTTGGTGTCCTTTAGTCTGGGTCAGGGCGTAGGCGTTTCTTTCGTTTGGTTTGGCTCTTGTAACAAGAGAGGTGCTCCGGGGCAGAACACAAAGGTCATGGGGGCTGGGGCAGGGAGGGGAGGGGGAGGGAGCCCCAAATAAGGCCTTATTAAGGGCTTAATCAGGGCTTATTTGGGCTCCCTCCCCCTCCCCTCCCTCGCCGTTAGCCCCTATGAAAAGGTAGATCATTGGTACAGGGATGTAAAACAATGGATGTTCTTCAGAGCCCCTCCAAAGGGACCCTGGGCCCGTCCAGAATCTGGCAGGCAGGCCGTGAGGAAGGAGGTTTTGGTGCGTCCCCAAGTCATGATCCAAAAGAAGGTCGGCCTTGGTGCAAGCTCTTTTTCGGGGCCAGCTGAGGCCAGGGATCGTGTATAGCTGTACCTGGAGCCTCCTTCTGACCCTGAATAAATGGTTGGTCATTACCCAACATGGGGTCATGGACCCATTTTTAAAGGGTCAAAAGGAGAGTCTAGGTAGAAGTGGGCGGATCTTAGGGAGAGATTTATCGGCGTGCCTCGGAAACGGGTATGTCTTGATTCGAGGAAACGCCTCCCTGCTTGCAGCCCACTGCTGGAGTAGTTTGACCGCGCAGCCCACTTCATGTCAACCCGCAAAATGGGCAAGTCAGGAATCCCGGACATGAATCCAGCCAGACTGTTCTGTCAGGTGACTTTCGGATGCTTTAAACTTTGCTGCAAGCGATCGGCACCCATTTATGAGAACCAACCCAGCGGAAGACTCGACATTGAGGTTTCTCAAAATCGTGGAGACCCTTTGATTGCTTCCCCAGAAGCCAAAAGGAATCCGTTGAGGAAACCTGGTCTGTTGGGAATTGAGAGGGGTTTGGACAAGTCGGGACCTGAAAGAAAGCCACAAGGGATGCTTCAGCGCTCATTGGCCCACTTGCCGCTTGCCCACCTAAGACAAAACATGACAGCTTTCTTTGTGTGACTCATAAACTGGGTATCTACCCCTTTTGGATTTCAATCCCGAGTGGATTGCTTTCTTATCCGCTCCGGAGAAGCATCAGTTTGCGCTGTGGGTCTTCATGGTGGGGACTGATCCGGCGCGGCGGGGCACACCTGTCGACCATCCCAGTTTGCAGTATAGCCACCCTTCGCCATAATTCAAAATTTGGTCTTTAACGGGTGGCAAGCTTATCCAAGGTGCAGTGGATGGTTGCGAAATCCAGAAATCGCACCACGAACGGAAACCATGGTTGAAACCATGACGTTGGTATTTCCAGGGGAATCGAATCAGAAACCAGGGTTTCTTAGGTGTTGCGAATGGATTTTGTCCACAGCATCACTCCCCCCGAGGCCTTGTTGGTGCCCTGGATGAATTCACTGGGACTTGGAGCGAGCTCGGTCGTCAGGTGGCCGCCGAGGCGCCGGAGAGTCTGGCGGCTTTGAAGACCTGCCGGGTGGAGCTGAAAACAGCGGTGGTTGAGGGCACCACAGTGGGGGACCCGGTGTCGGAGAGTGAGGGAGCGAGTGAGTCCTCACCTTCGCCGTCATGGTTTCTGGTCTTAGTTGTCGTGTGTTTTTAAGTGTTCCTCTTTTTTTTTTGGTCGGAGTTTTTGTTTTTGATTTTGTGTTTTTAGGCTGTCTGTGCTTTGTTTGGTTGGGTTCATTGTTGGGAGGGAGCTGCAAGAAAGCAGTTTTGTTTTTGTTGCTACCAAGGGTTGCCTCTCGAAGGTCCCTCGCATCCTTGTTGGTTTGTGAACTATATTGCCCATCCTCGTGGGCTGGCCAAAGGGGGTGGTGGTGGGGGGGTGGGGGGGTGGGGGTGGGGGGGTGGGGGTGGGGGGTGGGGTGGGGTGGGGGTGGGGGTGGGGGTGGGGGGGTGGGGGTGGGGGGGTGGGGGTGGGGGTGGGGTGGGGGGGGGTGGGGCTTTTTGTTTGGGGGGGGGGGTGGGGGGCTTTTTGTTTGGGGTGGGTGGGGGGCTTTCTTGCCACCCGCTTCGATTTTACGAGTTTACTCTGCAATTTGGAAGAACAAGGTTCTTCTTTCCTGCCGGGATGTATGGGGCTCCGTATGACTTTGCAGAATATCTCGTGTTCCTGCTTTCTGGGTGCTCTTCTCGCTTTTCGCTGGTTGGATAAAGGCCTCCTTTATCCATTCCTTTCATTTGCTTTTGGGTGGCGGGATGCGTTTAAAGGTCATGCTTGTTTGTATGTTGTTTGGGTTCTCTTCTAGGTTTTCCGTTGTTCTGTTTTTTGCGAATGTGTGGTTGGTGGTCCTTTTTGACGTTCAGTTTCTCGATCTACTGGGTTTCGATCATGTTCTAGTTTGTCTTTTCCTGTGCACTTGTTGTAGCGTGTGTTGCGCTAAGAAGGGGTTCCTGTGCTGTTGTGTCGTGTTTTCTGGCGGGTGGGGCTTCTGCTCTTCTCTTTTTTGCTTGTTGCTTTTATTTGTTTTTTGGGTGGGGCTGGGCCCTTTCAATGAACATCAAACACCAAATCCAGCTACAACAGGCGTAGTCCTTATCCGCGTCAGGTCTTTATTGTTGTCCTGGTTCCTCATTTGTGCTTGTTCCGCTTGGGTGGGTTTCCTTGTACTTGTTTGCGTGCAGTAACGGATTCACCTTTGATCACAACCAACCAGCAAAATTGCCTTCTTTTGAATGGGTTTCTTCTCGTCGAGGTGTTGTTCTTTTCAATAATTTGCTTTCCTTTCGTGGAGTTCATGGAACCCCCTCACGCAGGTCCAATGCTATGAGGATCTCAAGCTGCCGCCCGGTGAAGGCAAAGGGGCAGCCACCTCCGAACCTCCAAACCGCATATGAGAGGGGAGCTGCTTTTCTGTTTTGTTCAGTTTTTAAATGACCTCCTTTGGCTATTTTGGGGCTACTGGACAGCCAGAAGAGGCATGAAATATGCTGCTTTTTGCTTCACCCTCTTGCCCATCATGGAAGTGGACCGAGCTTGGCTTTTATATAGGATCGGAGTCTTCTTTAAAACCCTTTGTCAGCTTCCATGACTGGAACGAGGATTTTGAAAGGTTGCGTTTCGTCTCCACTGTTGCTTTAGCACGTTTGCTTTTAGAAGTGTTTGTTTCGTCTGGTGTTTCACGTGCCCGTTAGTTCCGGGGTCAAATACAACCGCTCAATCTCTTCCGTATTTGTTTCTCTTCGGGGGGAAAAAACACAACATGCAACTTTTTCCAGTACTTCGTTACATTTTATTGCTGGCTTTGAAGGGAAGCAACAAGTCATGACGGCTAACGTTGT